GGCAGATACGCAGTGCCTGACCCTGCAAACTCTCCAATGAATGGGTCTTCGATTTGCAAGTGTTAGTCAGTACCGGCAAGCTGTAGCGCAATAGACCCAGAAATAGGGCACTGTACAGCTGTAGCATGGAGGCCACAGAAGTTCCCCATGCTTTCCCGCACATGAATTTCATTATATGCACAATAGATAGCAGTCTCTTCTTCAAGTACGCACAATGTGGGCTCCACGAAAGACTTCTGTCGATTATTATGCCCAGGAAATGATGCGTCCGTGGATATTTGACACTCTGCCCATTGATGTAAACAGAGTATGGCGTCATTGGTTTGCGTGTAAACGCCATCAACGCGCACTTCACAGTTGATATATTTAGGCCTTGTTCCTGAAGGTAGGCTGTTGTGAGGGTTGCTGCCCGCTGTATTCGTGCACGCACCTGAGGGCGTGTAACTGCAGCACCCAGAGGCAAATATCATCGGCGTATATGGATAGGCACACCGACTTTGGCAGAACCTTCACCAGACCAATGAGGGCAACATTGAACAATGTGGGGCTTAAAACACCTCCCTGAGGTACTCCGCAGTAGGTGTAATGTTCAGCAGTTGTACCCTCATATGTTTGCACAAAGAAACCCCTGCCAGTTATATAATCTTTTATCCATTGAAACATTCGTCCACCAATGCCCATTGCTGCGAGAGAAGTGAGGATGGCATCGTGAGCTACATTATCATATGCACCCTTCACGTCAAGAAAGAGTGCCACTGATATGCGCTTGCGTCTTTTTTGTTGTTGAACAAATGTTGATAAGTCAAGGACACAGTCAATGGAGGAGCGGCCCCGACGAAAGCCTGCCATGCAAGAAGGGTATTTGGTGTATCGTTCCAAGTACCACTCGAGACGAAATAGAACCATTCTTTCCATCACTTTTCCGAGGCAGCTTGCGAGGGCAATAGGGCGATACGCTGTCAAGTCCAATGATGATTTTCCCGATTTCAAAAGTGGTATTAATCGACTTATTTTCCATTCTTGGGGAACACTGCCGCTGAGCCAGGAGTTGTTGAAGCATGTTAAAAGTTCTTTTCTGGCTTTTTGTCCAAGGTGTCCCAACGCACTATAAGTAATACCATCGGGACCTGGCGATGACATGCGCTTAGAAGCGACTAACGCACCTTCCAGTTCTTCCATGGTGAATGGAATGTCCATTTCTGGTAATCGCGTCTCAGGAACGATCACGGCGTCGATGCTCTCGTTCATAATATTCCCGGCAACTCTCGTGCGAAATTCTTCAGCCACCTCGAGTGCTGTTTTTCCATGATTGAGTGCCAAAGCTTTAAAAGGGTGCCATTGTTGCGGAGAGGAGCGAAGACCACGAACTGTTCTCCGGATATATGACAGCGGTTTATGAGGGTCTAGAGATTCGCAGAATGCCTTCCAGCGTTCGCTCTCCAGCTTGTAAATGCGTCGTTGAATCTTTTTCTGGAGCCGCCTTGCTTCCCTCAGATCGTAAATTGATCTTGTGCGTCTGTATCGTCGTTCAGCACGCCTTCGTATAGCTCGTAATCTTTCCAGTTCGATGTCAAACTGTGTTATTTTAGACGAAAATGGTAATTTACATTTGGACGCTTGCATAAGGGCGCTTGCTTAAGGGCGAAGCTCCTCTTATTCTAACCTTGTCATGCGTCACGCGTAACCAAGAGAAGAAGAGACGAGAAATAAAAGAAGACAGTATCTCACGATCAGTGTTATAGACGGCGCTGTCTCATACAAATACGTAAAAACAGCAGTTAAGTGAGGATATTCCAGATGGCGCCGTACTGCTACTCTCCGATTGGCTGCTGCGCGGGCTGTGCCTGGGTACGCGGAGAATGAAAGCCTCTCTGTCTCCTGGATAGTACCCGTACGTGGTGGATCGTTGGTGATGTTGGCAAGCCCCAGCCATTATTGGACTCTAATAGCTACAGAATGTTATAAGGATAAAGTTCATCGCCGCCCAATCGCGGTGGTCTAGTGGCTATAAAGCACTGGGCTGCTGATCCGCAGGTAACGGGATCGAATCTCGGCTTCAGCGGCTGCATTTTCGATGGAGGCTAAAATGCTGTATAGGCCCGTGTGCTAAGATACGGGTGCACGATAAAGAACCCCAGGTGATCAAAATTTCCGGAGCTGGAAATTTCAGCCACCGGGGGTCCAAATTTCTGGAGTTCCTTTTTGTGAAGATTCCAGCACAAGTTGGGCGTAACTGTCAGATTCAGGTAAATGTATTGATTAACTTGAGAAAGTTCATGACCGTTAATACTGTAAGGGTAACTAACAATTTTTTTTTAGGAAATAGACATAAAAACTGTTTTTGTTTGGGTTTAGCTGCATTTGCGACTGATCACACCAGTTCTTATTCCTGGTAAGTTAAGAATAAGCTCACCCTGGTGACTTTATATTTTCGTGTAGAATGCAATCGTCAACAAACATTCATATTTGGGTTGTAATATTTTTTGGCAGTTCATTTATAAACATCAGGAACACGAGGGGCCTCAAGACGCTATACTCAGGGGAATCCCACATACCGCTGGATATAAGTCAGATTGGTGGTGCCCTGGAGAACATATTGTTCTCATTTTGCTAGATAGAAGCTATACAAGCGGTTAAGTGCAGAAGTTTAAAAAAATAACATTGCTTTTAAGTAAGACCTTCTTGTGCGACACCTTACCAAAAGTCTTTTGCGAAGTCTAAATAAATATTATGACAGTTTGTCTAATGGTATTAATTGTACTAGAAAGGTCATGTGCGAGCTCAATAACCGGAGTAATGGTGGATAACTCTTTCCTAAAACCATGTTGACCGGAAAAAAATGGTCCATGTTCATCGGGATAGGTCAACAAGCACTTTTATACAGTGTGCTCTAATATTTTAGGACAGATACTTGCAAGCGATTTAGGTCAGTAATTGCTAATGTCAGCTGTAGAACCACCTTTTCGTATGGGCTGAATTTTGCCATTTTCCAAGCCCAGGAAAAAGAGCCACTAGTAACATATTATTGAAAAATAATGGCAATTCGGCATCTCTGGCAATAATGGCATTCGATGACAATTCGGCATCTCTATAAAGGAATTTATTGGGGACATTGTCGGGGCCAGCGCTTTTTTTAGTAATAATATGAAGCAAGAAATTTAGAACACCTTCTTGAGTGATCCTTAATATCAGGAATTATATATAAGGAATTACAGAAATCACTGATATTAGAAACAATACCATCATTGATTGCAAATACTGACGATTGTAAAAAGGAGTTGTAAGTTTTATTTAGCGTTTTTGATTTTCTCTTAGTTTTTGATATGTGTACTTTTTTCTTCACAACTGCTCATTGCGAAGCATTGCATTCCAGTATAAAAGTAGGAACTAACGCTTTGAAGAAGCGGGACTAAATTTGTGAGTGCGCAATAAGATCTAGGCTTGTGCTTTTTGGGTTTCATTGATTCATGAATATTATCCCTTATGAACGGTTTCTTTTATTTAAAAAGTACACATATGTTATAGCTGGTTATAGTTTAAGTTATGCAAATGTAGCTATTTATACGTGTGATAATTTTGGTTTGCTTCGACCCTCTAGTTTCTGAGAAAAAGGTACACAAACATTGGAATATGTTTTGAGAAAAACGCAAAGATCACTTCGAGATACAACCACTCTTCCTGTCAAATGTCGGAAAAATATGAATAGTAGTAAAATGATTTTCCAGACTGCCAGTACCCAATCGTAATACATTTCTCAAAGACAAAGAAATACTCTATGAGGTGACTGCAAAATCTCGAAATCAAAATTTGTGACTAAACAAAGTATCACACCACCTTAAGAACCTTTGGGCATTGTTTTTTTCTTAAGAACACACCCGAACGCTTAGCGCCATAAGCACCCCGGCGAAGCCTCAGTTCTTCCTGGTGGCGGAGGAATTTCATCAATTTCTCCTTGCCCTGCCCCTCGCTAAAGAATATGACGAAAGGATTACCAAATTCGACGTATGCACTATTGATTTCATAAACACCATAACCACACGAGCCCAAGGAACAACTTTCTTCCACTGAGAACACGTTGAAAGTCTTAACGCCAGAAATGTCCCGCCAAAACTTCAGTTTTCGCTCTAATCGATTGCAGATGGCGCGGCAAATCTAGGTGCCATTTTGCCAGCCTCTTACGACTGACACATCACTCAGGGACGAAGACAATGCGACTATGGCAGGGCATAATCGATTATTTTTTTCAGAAGCTTGATAAGCACTGACACTAACCAAACAGCCTTGTTCCATCGATGAGCACACGAAAGTGTTGACTACCACGAACTCCCGCCAAAACTTCGGTTTATGCTCTTCGACTCCAGAGGGCGTCGCAAATCTAGGCGTTATTTTGACAACCCCCTTCGCGATTAGTCCATCACTAGAGATGTGGAAGATACAGCTATGTACAGGCAAAAGACAACATTTATCACATATTTTGGTGACCTCTTACACAAAAGGAGCAATCTTGTTCCATCTAATAACACACGCCACTGTCGAATTCTCCAAACTTCCCGCCATATATTCGGATTCTTCTCTTCGCCGAGACGTGGCGCAGCGACTCAAAAACGATATCCTCACTTCAGTGAAGGCACACTTTAGGAGAGGGCGAGATGCTATGCGCGCTTGTGTTTCCTTGCTCTGCGTTTCGTGAAAGTGGGGAAGAGAAGGGGGCAGTAAGTGAGAGAGAGGAGAAGTGCTCGGTGGTTTCGGCACTTCGAGCGGAGGGCAACAACAAATGCGCGCACTTCGGAATGCAGCGCGTTCTCGAGAAGTAAGTGGGCAACCCCTGTGAGCCCTTGCCCCAACCTCGGTGCAGTCGGCCCGCTCGCTTGATCTCCCCTTTCTCACCTGTCCCCCTTTCCGGCGAGGTAAAAAAGACCACGCGAAAGAGAGGCGTTGTTGAGGGCGGGTTGTATGGGGGAAAGGGGGGCAAGAGTTTCTCGCGGCCTGCGCTACCGGTTTGGCCGCTCGCGCGCTGGTAGGATTTGGCTTGAAACGTTGTGGTCGGCGGCAGCGTGCGCTGCACTTCGGCGTGCCAGTCAGTCCCAAGCGCAGAAACACAGTTGACGTCGCGCGGACTTCACACTGCTTCTATCGTCGTCGCGTGCCTTCACGGTGGTGACGTCTCCACAACTTCCCAGCTACAAGACGTACCGAACGAAAAACTTGTAAGTCTTCGAAGCCATGGCTTTGCGATCGCGCGCACGAGGCAGTGTTGGATGACAGAGCGCGCGGCCTGCCTGCCTGCTGGCAGAGGTGGTGGTGCGAGTGTGTGTCTACGGGGAAACAGATGTGTGGCCTGCTTCGCATGCAACGATAAGCCGACCACTACGTGAAGGCTGAATAGGAGAAGACGTGCTTGATCCAGATCGGGACCTCCGATTTGTCCCGGTTGCTGGCGACCCTACTGCTTACTTATCTTTTCTGTGTGTGCAACATTGTGCGTGCGTGTTCTTAAAGAGTGCTCTGTTTTCTGTTTTGTATTCTTTTACGCTTGAAGCTTTTCAATCGCGTCCCCGGGTTGAGATCAACGCGAGATTGAAGAGAAGGCGACGTCGTTCTGGGATGGTGTGTTCCACGGAAGAAGCAAGGAAAGTGTGGCCTCTGAATCTGTGTCAACTCAAATAGGAAGAAAAAACAGCGTGTTATTCGTCACCGTGCGGCACGAAGCCACGTCTATCGTTGTTGGAACCACTTGATTTCACTCCCACTCTTTCCACAAATCTGATTGTCATCGCCCACATGAAAGCTACTATCTTGTCTCTTGCAAGATCAGCCCGTTGAACCGATGCTCCATCGAAGCACTTTGCTGGGCAGTGAAAGTTACCGCGGTGAAGTGGAAAGACAGCTAGTTTCCGCCATAAGTCCGGCAGTCATGGTTTTTTCGTGAAGTGTAGTTGGGGCGTAGAAAGAACATGCCTTCCTGAACTTCTAGTGATCGTCCACAGTCATCGGTTGCTACGTTCCTGTGGCCATCGCTCCGTAGTGTTCTTTTACCGCTGCAGAACCAGCCGATGTCACTTCGTCTGGAAGGCCAGTTATATCTTCGTTCTGTTTGTGCCGTGACAGCGACGATCCCAGGATTCCTCTAGCATGCGGTGGCGGCTTGTCCTTGCAAGCCGGACCGGACTCCCTGAAAGTGATCGCCGCCGGACGCCGGACGAACTTAGCAACTTCGTCGACTTCGTTCCGCGACGATGACTCGACGGCTTTCAGCAACCGCAGCGATGGGACGTCCGTCGATGTCAAGGTTGCTCGGATTACTGCTGCTAGCTGCTTCGCTCGGTCAGGTTAGTTACCGTTTCTTCCGAGTGGTCAGTTAACCGTTCTTCGTGTTAACGGTTCTTTTCAGCGTACCGAGCGTTCAAAGCAACACACTGATGAGCCCCTGGTTGTGCTAAGTCAGCCCTGCACCCTGACATGCTCGATCGCCGTACATCCGTTTCTTTGCGCTTCTGCGTGAATTAAGTTCCCAGCTCCTACCTTGGCACGTGTAATCGGAAATGGTGAGGAATACCTCGAACTCGAAAAGACTTTGAAAAACGTAGAACAACTCAACGTTACTGATTTAGCGACGTCGGTAACGCATGATTGTGCGACCTGGCGGCGTTCCATGTTTCGCGGACGGCGAGAAGCGAAATGAAACCGATTATTCAGATAGCTACGCAAGAGTCTGTCGATCTTTGTGATCGATGTAGACCTGTTAAACCGAAATTAGTGCTCAAATTCTTCCTTTTAGCAGGGCTTCTACATGAAAAAAAAATTGCTGAAATTGGAGAGTGACGCAAAGACGTCAATAGAGTGTTCCTGCAGTACCTGTTTACCCTGCTGAAAGTTCTAAAATAGCGTACCTTTACGGACAGCTTGCAACATCTCTTACAATATTTTTTAACTTCCTCGGTGCGTGAATCCTCATTGGGCATGATATCCTGGCGCTTGGTTAATATAGGTCTTGCAAAGTAAAAAAAAAAAAGCTGAGTGTCCATCACGAAGCATGGTATTACCGTCCGGCAATACCGCACGGTGACCCAGCGCTGTTAAAACACCCGAATGTAAACAGATACAAAGACGCAAACACACCACGTATTACCGTGCTTACATCCCGCTTCGACTTCCGATTTTGGAAAATAAAGGCACTTGTATACCTTTAACACAGCATCGTCGAAAACGTCATCGTAAAAAAATATGAAAACTGGGAATATTGTTTGAATACATAAGATTGCAAGTTAAGTACAACAACAAATTGAGCATTTCAGTTGAGATTCACCCTAAAAAGAGTGAAAGCGAGGAAAATACTTGTGCATTGACCACCCTTCAGCATCGTTGTCACAGAGATAAATCGGATGAACAATGGGCGCATTCAGTTTTCACCCTCGTTTATGTATAGCGGTGTCGGTCCGTCCGAGACGCGCTCGTGTATAAAATTGTGTTCTTTGTACCAGACATCTTATTTGCGAGTCGGCGACCCCTCCAGTTGGTCGTCTGCCTTCGGCAAAGTGTTGCTTGCGCTGTTTTCTAAGATGAGCAGTACGGGTGTTAAGTTAAAAAAAAAAAAAAGAAGGTGGGGGCGTCTTCCATTGTGCGCGCGCCTATGCTGATGTCCGTTAACATTGAGCCTGTTAAAGTTTACTTAATTAGTGCAACTTTTCGACGGGAATGGAGAGAATATTTTGCGCACACGACACCAAATACATCAAGTACTTGCGACGAACTGAGCTCGGCTGTCGTTCACTTCTTTGGCTGTTTTGGAAGCAACATGAAGAGTTTTCCGCGTTAGCTGCTTTAGGTGTCAACACCATCCCTTGGACTTTCGATGTCTTTCTTGAACTGTATTTGCATTGCACCCGCAATGTGACTAGAATGGACGCATTTTCTTCACACACGACACGATCCAACTTAGGGGAACACTAAAGAGCAAAGTGATTTTCGAGTATAGGTACAATTTCAGTGTCCCAAAACCACCACCCTTACTGCGAGACATCGCTTGGGAAGCGAGAACACGCGCGAAAAGAAAGTGTTGGTGAATACCCTCACCTTGAGATTCCTTCACCAAACGCCGTGACGTCACAGATTTTGCAGGTGTCTACTTCGAGCCCACGTAGCTTGTAATCGATAAAAAGTAAGTACATTGTCATCTCTATGTGCCTTAGACCTAGCATACGAAGTTTCAGAAAGTGTATGCAGCCAATACAACAAAAAAAATCACTTTGAAAATTGTGACGTTCCGCGCGGTGATATAGGCGCGAAATTTGAAATTGATGCTCCAACCTTAATCATCTTCACTAATAATGAGTTTATTATATAGTGAAACACATTTATTGCATACGAGTTCTCCACGTGCAGGTTGCCAATCTAAACGAAGCCTTTGTTCCAGCTTAGTATTCATTTAAACGGGAATACACAAAGGCCGCGTTTCTTTGTTACACGTGACATAATTAAGCATACGATGAATCCAATCAGAGCGTATGGGACGTTTTTGGTAATTAGTAACAGTAACTGTAGTACATACGACGAAAATGAAAGAGAACTACAGTCGATGAAAACTCGACTTCTCAAATAAAGGGACCGAACCTAATTCGAATGATGCACTACCGTTGCTTCAGCTTAGGGGCTCGTTATCAGATATTGGCAGTGCGATGAACAAAAATATTAAAAAATATGTTGGTCATGCGTGTTAGCTCAGAGTTATATTCCATGTTTTCTCGGAGAGATTATTGACGGCAAAGAGACCTTAGATACAACGGAAACTCACACGCACACTAGAAGAAAATACTTATGATCATGGTTAACTCCCAAGACGTTGTGGGCCAGATAGCTTGGTCTAGCAATACTATTTTCAATAAACCTGACAATGCGCGTGAAAATGGCTCGGGACGTGCTGCAGTGGGCACGTGAGATATGTTCGTAAATGTCATTGTCGTCAAAAAAGTAGAAAAAAAGTAGTAACAAATGTGACAACAGTGAAATGTTATATTGATGCTCATTGTCAAAATACTAACACGCTACACAATGGTAAAGGAAGGCTAGATGCCCGCTGCCATGTTTCTATCTCTCGTGAGTGTTTTCGTAGACTTACGTAAACATTCGTAAATAGGCAGCCGAATTGTCGTTTTGGGGAAACTGTTTAAAGTGCCTTTCCCGCAAGATCATTATTCACACGAGAAACTCGTCCACAGACTGCCTTTCTCACTCAAGGTGCAATCAACCCTTCACATAAGCGCCATGGAGGCTTTTCAAGAACTACTGCCCAAGTGTGTGTCACCTCGTGGTTAAATTCTGCGTTGTGCAGGGAAAAACAAAGGAGATATATACAAAAAGCGAGGTGGAGAGTTTCGACCCATTGGTGCCTACACAAGCCTGTTTCCATTGAGATGGTGCCGTAGCGCGGTGTAGTGTAAAGTGGCTAGTCTACGCGCATGCTCACTGAATGGTCGTGAATTGAAATCTCGTGTGTTTTCTGCGAATTTTCCTAACTTTATCTCTGAAAGTGATACTTGCACGTCGATTGTACGTCTTATCAAATGCCTGCACGCACCTTGAAAGGTTGGTCAAGTGAACCAAAATCTGATTTTTTTTTTTTTTTGCGCACCACAGCTGTTGCTCCCTTGAGGATTAACGGCGAAAGCGCGGAGTAACTTCGCGGTTACTCCCAAAATGGAGGAAAAGGTGTGGCTGCAGGTTAGTTGCTCCTCTGAAGGAGCAACCTCGATACACCTCTTCCTCCTTCACTTCTTGGTGTGTAAGCACTGCTCCACCGCGGTGGACAGTTAGGGTTCATTAAAAGGAATTGTTCGAGTCTGAGTTCAAACAGTATTTCCTTAGGTATGAAAGCTTATGAAGCTGCTTTGTATCCCTACTACTCTTGTGGCGAAGCCAATGAACCTGCCAAAAAAACGCGCCTTATTGTATATTCGAACAAATTCACCCTTACTAACACGTAGCTACGCAACCCATGGTAATGACACTGTCATAAAAGAAAAGGTTATGAAAGCATCACAGCGCAAGTGGTTTCTTGTAGACGCTCACAAGGCAGGCGCGATATTAAGGCGTGTGAATATGGAATAGATAAGCATATCACCCCGTATTGCGAAGGGCCACAGCGGCAATGCTTCCCGCGCACACATTCTAGAGCGCGCTGTTCGAAGCGCCTGAAGGGGGAAAAAGCGAAACGCCGCCTCGCCCTATCTGTGCGTGTGACCTTCTTTTTCGGTCGCCGCCGCGACAGAACCCCGAAGCCATTCGTCGCATAAAAACGGGTTGGGTTTCGCGGTTCTTGCCTCGTAGAGATAAGCATCTGCGGCAACGCCGTGCTTCGCCGCGGGGCGCGTTAACGAGACCTCTCATCTCCTTTCACTGCTTTCCTGCGCGGTCCGGTCTCTCAAAGGAACGACGCTGGGGTAGACGATGGCCTTTTTACCTGCGCGCAGCGTTGCATCACCTATAGTATGGCGTATAATTGAACTGTGGCCTCTGGGATTCGCTGGCGCTGTGTCGCCTGGTTTCAGAGGTCATAGTCTTGGTATACGCGTTTGTATTAGGCGTGTCGTGCCGAACAAGGCGCTTAGCGAGCAAACTTTATTCGGGTGCTGTGGCGGCTCGAGGAGGAACAAACCATACTTCATGTATGTTTGTGCGTGTGTTTTTTATGTATAGATGTATGTGTACACACGTACACTTTAAAAAAATTGAAAGTATTGATCCTCCGCCTACGCCAGTGGTGCCGAACAATCCGAGTTATTGGTGTACCGAAACTTTCAATGATAACAGTGCCTCTGGTTGAGCTACTGATCGAAGACACCTAAAATGCTCTTCGTTTGTGCGAACGCCAGTATATGCGTGAAGGAGGGCTCGGAATTAAAAACCCTTATGTGTTCTTCATTCATTATTCATTCATTTATTCATTCATTCATTCATTCATTTAGTGTAGTCGCTGGAGATATTTGATAATTTTGAAAGCATTGGTACTGGGCAGAGCGAATTATACCTAGTGATTGTTGTAATTGTTTCGGGATGACTAGAACTCGAAAATTATTTTCGAGGACGTTGTACAAAAGGTACAGTGTAATCAATGTGAGTCAAAACTCTTCCTTATATACAGAAAAGAAATAGGCACTAAACACTGAGAGGCAGTTCATGACATGGTCCCAATTTGTATCAAGTAATTGCGGCAATTATATTTTTGTCGGCCACACGAGGCAGTATATTCCGCTCGTGATTTCTTTTCTGACATGAAATTGGGACCACTCATTTATGTTGTGAAAGGAGAGCTTTTGACGTAGCTAGTAGACAA